CCCTGCAGAGGACACAACAGCACGACAAGTGGCCTTGGTGGCTTCTCTGCCACCTGCAGAGAGGTAAATCCCCATCCCACCGGGACAGGGCCAGTTGGGAGCAGTGCTGGCCCCCACAGTCACACCGTGTGTGACCCCAAGGCTCCGGGCAGCTCCAGAGCCCTCCTGTGTCCTCACCTTGTCACCTCTGGTCCCTGCAGGTCCTGCCCGTCCGCTGGCGCCTTCCCGGCCCTGGGAACAAAGCCCCGGGTCAGAGGGAGCCTGGGCTGAGCTCAGGGGCTCCCAGAAGGGCTGGGATGTCCCTCACACCCCACATCCCCTCAGGAAGAGATCCCATGGCCCAGCTCCCCCGTTCCTGCAGGTGTTTCAGGGAGCCCCCGAAAGCGCTGCAGGGGTAAAATCCTTTATCCTGAGGGGTCACTGAGGGACCAGCAGCACTYACCGGGTACCCAGCCGGTCCTGCAGCCCCAGCTGCTCCAGGAGCGCCTCTTTCCCCGGCCAAGCCAGGCTTCCCAGGCATGCCATCCATCCCTCTTGGGCCAGGAACACCCTGCAAGGCCGAAAAACCCCTTAGGCCACCCCAAAACAGCTCTGCGAGGGCAAAGCCAGGGGAAGCCCCAAGGCTGATGCTGCTGGGTCACCTCGGGGTCCAAAAGGTGCCACCCACTCCTGGCCTCATCCCTGCAGGTGTGGGACACCGCTGTCCCCACAGCCCGTTTGTCACCAACCCCACAGACAGGGTTTGGGGTGATCCCTGCCCCACAGCCACCTCAGGGATGAAAATCCCCCGGAGTGGGGACTGATCTCACCCTGTGRGACATCACCCCAGCACGGTGCAGCCCTGCACTTACAGGCAGCCCTGGGAGCCCTCGGGGGCCTGGGTCACCGCTCCTGCCCTGGGAAAGAAGGAATTTCAGTGGGGTGGCCATGGAAAAGGGGGGCAGGGGGCTGGGATCGGGGTGAGGCTGTGTCCAGGTGAATCCCCATGGGTTGGGACCGTCTGTGCTCCACCAGGACAGATCCCAACCAGCAGGGASCAGGAGCAGGGTCCTGCCTGCTCCMTAAAAAGRGTTTGGGATGGATCCAGGCAGCACAGGGGATGTGCTTTGGGTGACATCCACGCAGACAGCCCTACCTGCAAGCCAGGAGCACCACGAGGACCAGGGGGACCTGGCAGGGCCTGGGGGACAAGAGCACCATCAGTCACACAGCCCTGGCTGAGCCCTGCTCCCAGCTGAGCTGTAGGATTRGCAAAAATTCCCCCTGGCAAGGATTTCCCATTTTCTCCCATTCCCAGCCCAGCTCAGACAACATTTTGGGTGCTTTACCAGGAGTTGGAGTCCAGAAGCTCCTACCTTGGGACCAGCTTTTCCTGGGAATCCTGGTGGACCCTGAGCTCCCCTTTCTCCCTGTGAGGGGGTRAGACAGATTTCCTTTCCTTTGGCTGTTTTAATGCAAAAACCTCTTAAAAAMCCCMAMMAAAMCMAWMARAAAMMAMYYCYKGMACAATCCAGAGGTRTTTGGGCAGAGGAAATGMTGGAGAGCCAATGGTTCACCTGATTTGGGACACAGATCCATGGCTGGTGGAGAATGTGGACACCTCCAAACCCATCCTTTGGGTTCAAAACTCACCCCAAAAGTGCCCCCAAAGGCCAGACTCCCACCCCACAGCTGTGGGGTGTCCCTACCTTGTCTCCCCTGTGTCCCAGCCTCCCACGGTCACCGGCGGCTCCGGGGTAGCCCTGGGAAGAGCTTGGGGTTAGGGGGCAGCCAGGGCTGCCTGGCATCTCCAAGTTTTTGGGAAAAGGCGGCTGAGAGAAAGGCAGGAGCTTTGGGGGGATGGTCCAGTTGCTCCAGTCTCCTCCCAGTCTGCCTGCTGGTCACTTACGTAGGAGCCCACAGGTCCTTGTGGCCCCTCCAGGCCAGGCTTCCCAGGCAGCCCCTGCCAGGAAAACCACAGGAATGAGCAAATTCCCACTCTGGGGTGCAGTCAGGCATCCTCCCTCCCTCTSGGATCCCATGGGTTCTGCTGAGCCCTTGGGCTGAGTCCATGGGATCCCCCCCAGATCTCCCCATGAGGCAGCCCAGAGCCTCTGGGAGCTGTTCACCAGCACCACCCTCCCCACCATCCAGACCCCAAACCCACCCCAAACCCCAGCTCTCACCTTTGGKCCCAGGGAACCTGGCTCTCCATCAGGTCCAGGCTTTCCTGGAGAGCCCTTTGGGTGATTTGGGGAGGTGTCAGGTGAAGGCTGAGAGGGGATGAACCCCACTGAACCCCCCCTGCTGTCCCTGTGCTCCTGGCCGGGGGTCACTCGAGGCCAGCAGGGTCACAGGGGACAAACTCAGCCACCATGGCCATTCCTGGTGGTTCCTGCAGCCCACCCCCATGGCTGTCACCGGGGAAGGGGACAATCCTYGCTCTCAGGTCATCCCCAAACCCAGCTGAGGTCATTCCAGGACCCCACCMAGCCCAGCYCCTGTCCCTGCCCAGACCCCCCAACAGCCCCACCCTGTCCATCYCTGGCAGCGCTGTCCAAACGCTCCTGGAGYTCTGGCAGCCTCGGGGCCGGGACCATTCCCTGGRGAGCCTGGGCAGTGCCCCAGTGCCCTCCCCTGTGCCACCCTCTGCCCCTGGGATCTCCTCCCACAACCCAAAGCCAGCTCCTGCTCAGCCATGGAGGGTTCCCATGAGCTGCCATTCCCCACGGGCACCYTGCCAGGCTCAGGGAACCTGAGGAATCCCTGGAGCAGGCTGATTCCCTGCGGAAATGATCCCACTCTTCCCCAGCCCCWATTATTTCCACCACTGAGGCTTTTTAATGTCTTTTACCAACCAGGTAAGACCAGGCCCTACAAATGCCCCAATTCCCGGGGAAATTCCCATATTCTCCACCAGCCCCATTGCCATCCCACCTAGGAAAACAYGGGGTTCATGCAGAGTAATTTTTATTTTTCCTTACTATGGATCCAGGAGTTCCAGTGTGCCCACGGCCCCCCGGCAAACCRGCAAATCCCTGGAGGAAAGGGAGGCAGAGCAGCCATGGAGGGGAGGCAGGAGCAGGAGGATGGAGAGGCTCAGCCCCGAGTTTGAGCCCAGCCCAAGGCCCAGGCAAAGGCAGCACTGGGACTTTTCCCTAAAATGCAGCTCCTGGATTGCTCATGGCATCACCAGCGCTGTGTGTGGGCACACATAACAYCCATTTGTGCCCCCAGTGATGCTGGCAGCACACTCAGGTGTGCTCTGACRCAGGGCAGGGCAGTTTCCACCTTCTGTTTTCAGGGAAGTGCCAGATTTTTATTTTTAGATTTTTAAAATTATTTAACTATTATAACTATTTAATTATTTTTATTTAATTAATTTAATTATTTAACTATTACTTTAAATTTAATTTTTAAATTTTTAATTTTTTTTTTATTTTTCAATTTCAGAGCGAAGATAAACACACAAAATCCTGCAGAAAAGAAAACCTCCTGCCAGCCCCAGCCTTGCTGCTGGATCTGTTCAGGGTTAGGAAATCCCATTGCTCTGATCCCAATCCTCCCCACTTCAGGAGGATTCGGGCTGCTCCCGCCCCACCCCATCCCACAGACACGCTTTTGGGGCACATTCCCAAAGGGATAAAGCTGAACAGAGGGATGGAGGGCTGGAATCAGCTCCACTCACCGCTGGTCCCCTCCTGCCCGCGCTGCCCACGATGCCCGGSTGACCCTGCAGGGCGAGGATGAGGAGGATGAGGATGGGGAGGCAGAACAACCTCTCCCTTCCCAACCGCGGGAAGACCCAGCTCTTTTCCCGCACGGCCGTGGGGTTGGGACGGTTGGGAAGGTTGGGAAGGTTGGGAAGGTTGGGAGTTGTCCCCGGCGGGCTCCGCTCGCTCTGCCCGCCCACCGCAGCGCCCTGCCCCGCAGCCAAGAACAGACGGAGGATGGAACCTGGGTACCGGGCTTTCCTTCGGCGCCCTCCGCTCCCGGCGCGCCCCTCGAGCCCTGCGGGGACAGCCTCGTGTCGGCAAAACGGAGCGGGGGGACCCCAGAGCCCCTCCGCAGGGTGACAGGGTGGCACATCAGCCTTGGCACCGCCTGGCACCGCTCAACCCACGCGATTCCCGCAGCTCCTCCCGGCCCCAGCCCATCTCGGGATGGGAAATAACATCCGAGTGGGAGCGAAGCGATCCCACCGCCAGGCTGGCTTTTCCCTCCTGCCGCCCCGAATATTTATTCCTGCCTCCCTCGTCCAACTGCGACTCCGACTTAACGGATTTTCCTTAAAAAGTTCTTCCCTGGAATTGCCTGTGCTCAGCGTGGCGCTGGGCAAGTGGTTTTGTCAAAATGCAGGGGTGTTTTCAGGCAGCCTGAGCCGCTCATCCCCAAATTTCCCCGCGTGAATTCCCCGGTAAATCCAACCACACCCCGGGGTGCTGTTCCCGTGTCCCAGAGCCCACAGCTCCCCGYGGCAGCAGGGATTTGGGGTATCCTCCACTTACAGGCAGCCCAGGCACTCCAACCAGCCCACGCTGCCCCACGCGGCCCTGAAAAACACCAGGAATCACAAAACCATCCTTTGAACAGCAGGAAAGCTGCAGATTGGAAGGAAAATCTGGTGCCTGAAGGATGTTTCAAACCAGACTCATTTCAATCCCCCACAGTCAAAGATGTTCCAAGATCCAGCCCTAAATTCCAGCACCCCATTAATTACCCGGGCTCCCCGTGGTCCTGGGGYTCCCTTGGGGCCGTCAGGTCCTTGGCATCCCTAAAATTCACACAAACGGAGAAATTGCAGATCTGCAGATGTAGCTCTGCCTTATAGCCCCAAGGGGACTCATCCAGCCCCTGCCCCAGGGGCAGCTCAGGGATTCCATACACAGGGAGGGGTCAGGGGGCTGCAGACCCTCCCCAGGATGCTGTCCCTGGGTGCTGGGACCCTGCCAGGGCGGCCACATCCCTGTTTTCCAGCCCGTGGGAAAGCAGCAAAGGCAGGCGCTGACCTTGGGTCCCTCGCTGCTGTTCAGCCCTGCAGGGCCCATCTGACCTTCTTCCCCCTGCCGAGAGAGAGGGGAGGAACCGGCCTGGAAAAACACAGCCTCTGATCCCGTGGGAGTGACCATCCTGCTGCCCGGAGCAGGGAAAATCCCCGGCAGCRTCAGGTGACACTAACAAATGTCCCACTGTGGGGCAGGAATGGGGCCTTCCCCCATCCCCCAGGGTTGTAAAACTGGGCAGAAAGGAAAAGCTTTTTTTTCTTTTTTCTTCCCTCTGGGGGAAGAATCTTCCCCTGATCTCCAAGCTCCACAGTTTGACATGACCAAAAGCAGAGTATTTTGGTTTCCTGATGGATAAATTCAAGGCAATTGCAAGGATTGCTGTGCCAGGGCTCCCACCAGCAGGGACAGGGAGAGTGGGGAAGGCAGGGAGATGATTCCTGCTGCATCCCCAGCTCCTGGGCAGGTGGGARGATTTGTTATTCATCCTGGAGAGCAAAAGAGCAGCTCCAGGAAAGCATCCCAAAAGCTTTGGGAGTGGGAGGGCATCCCATGCAGCTGGAAAGGTGGGTGGGGTGGGTGGTCCTCCTTTTTCTGGGAATCACTAGAGATTGGCCTGGCCTCGGTTCCCAGCTAAAACTGGGATGTGAAGTGGGATAATTCACCCTGCTGGCTCCCTGGAACGCAGGAAAAAGCATTCCCAGAGCCCTTCCGAGCTGCCAGAATGGGCTCCAGGAGCAGAGAGCCTGGCTGGAGTCAGGGAGGGGCACAAAACCAGCAATCCCTGAGCCCTCTGACCCCAAAATCTGCCCAGGAGCTGCCCTGGAGCAGGGGCTCAGCGGGATCCTGCACAGCTGAGGGAGGCTGGCAATCCTCTGCCTGAAGCTGCTCTTGTTTCCATGAACCCAGCTGCAAATTTTGGGATGGACAGGCCTGGAGCAGACAGGGCAGAGCTCGGTCTGGGTGCTGGGGGCACCTGCAACCCCAAGGCTGGGGCTCTGGGCCACGCTCCCTGTGGCTGAGCAGAGCTGGGGGCAATGGCATTGGAAGGATCCCTTAGAGATCCCAAAAATCACTGTGGCACTGCCTGGACCCTCAGGGCTGTCCCCACCTGTGACACAGATCACGCCTGAACCCACCAGGATGCTCCATGGCACTTACAGCTGGTCCTYGTGGCCCTGCCGCCCCTCGGGGGCCAGGGAAGCCCTGCAAACCCCCCTGGCCCCGGGGCCCTGCAGGGCCTTTTGCTCCTGGTGCTCCTCGTGGGCCCTTGGAGGAATAAAACACAGCAGGTGACAAAAATAAAGCACAGCATGTGACAGAAATAAAGCACAGAGGTGGAAAAGCAGGGACAGCAATTCCCGGATCCATGGGCAGGAATTCCCCTGGATATCTCATCACTGGCAGGGGTGAGAACCTCAAACCCTCCTCCCCGAGCATCCCTGGGGCACCAACAGTGGGGAAATGCATTTTTTAAAACAGCCAAAGTGAGAAGAGCAGGGGAGGATGGATTGGGAAGGATGGATTGGGAAGGATGGAGCAGGGAAAGATGGAGCAGGGAAGGATGGATTGGGAAGGATGGAGCAGGGAAGGATGGAGAAGGAAGGCTGGAGCAGGGAACAATGGAGCAAGGAACGATGGAGCAGGGAAGGATGGATTGGGAAGGATGGAGCAGGGAAGGATGGATTGGGAAGGATGGAGCAGGGAAGGATGGAGCGGGAAGGATGGAGCAGGAAAGGATGGAGCAGGAAAGGATGGAGCAGGGAAGGATGGAGCAGGGAAGGATGGAGCAGGGAAGGATGGAGCGGGAAGG